GCATGCCTTGAGGCTTTTCATGTAGGCGTCATGAAACATGTCAAAGCATGACTGGTTTCACGCGCTAAAAGTTATGTAATTAGTGCATTCTTAAGAAGCTAATGATGGATCGATTGATGATAGGATGATAAACTTATAGAAGCATTGGACCCTTTATGAAGACACCCTTCGTGGAGACAGATGTGAACTTCAAGGTGTGAGGTGTAAGCCTCATAAATTAACTATATTTTAACTTTAAAATTTATAAATGTTCTAACACATAATATCTAGTGATATAAGAAAATTACAAATAGATACATTCATGTATTTGACTGTAAATAATGAAGGATGCTAAGTATGGCGTGAATCATTATAAATTAAGCTACATATATAAGGCATCTTATTTACAGACTCGTAACCATATTGAAGACACGTGTTTAAAGTTATAGCATCTTACAAAAATCTGAGGTTAATTGTTGCATTTGTTCAAGAATATGGATAACAATGAACAAGGAAATGGAAATAGCTTACGAAAGAGCGAAAATGTAGAACGTTAACAAAACCCATGCAGGTACACAGAAATAAGAAATCGACGTAGAATTCAGAATTGTTGAATAACAAGATAGAGTTAGATAAGATAATCGCTTTGATCCTTTAGTTTCAATGAAAGACCGGGGAAAAGAAAATGAAGAGATAGAGGCATTTTAATTTTAGTCAAAAATCTATTTTGCGCTCCAATAGGGCGTGAAACATACACTTCAATTTTTGCTTCAAGTGATGAGGTGTAGGTTTTAGCGACAAACAGCCTTTCTTTTGAGTTTTGAAGCTATTGTCCTTCAAAATTAGATAAGACAATCAGTTTCATTTCCTTTTGAGTTTTCGAAGCGATTTGTCCTCAGGAATGAATCTTGTATGTGAATGTTTGTGAGTAGTTCCATCTGTAGCTATTGATGCTCATCTTTCCACTGGGTGTGTTGCCTTGCATTTGTGTATTTTCCATACAAAATGTGTGGCATGATAAATGCATTAGAATCCTTGTGATTATCATGTGTTTTAAAAATTACTTTCTTTGTTTCTAGATATGGGCTTATGCAGCGATCAGGGGATTGCATATTAGGAACTTGATTGGGCACTATCCTAAGTGAGCAGCTATGGAAAAGGATTTTGATCTAATATGGATTCAGAGCTGGATTATTATGAAATTTTAATTCGTATATGGATTCACCAACGAGCAATAGGAGTTGCGCCTTGGGAGTCAGGATGGGATTTTTGTTTGGTACAACTAAATAACTAAATTTACTCAATTCTTCTGGAAAGGAAAAAAAATAGTATATTATTTATCCTCTCTAGGATCTAACTTGGTCATTGCGACAACACATTTAATTTCAAGTACCACTGTTCACATGGAACCATGTCATCTTTTTGCATCTACGACTAAAGATTTATACGTTTTCTTTCTTTTGGTGTCATTTTGGCATCTCTACTTGGAAGAGGCGTCGAAGCTTTTGGATCAAGGTGTATTTAAAGCAAAAATAGTGGGATATTGAATACAGTTGTTTCTGGAACTTTTTGCAGATCGCGGTCAAGGTCCAGATCTCCGGTAACTTCTGTAAGTTGCCCCACTGATATATCATATTTCACAGTTTTTTTAAGGACAATTTGAATTTAATTCCTTTCTCTAAACTTATAGATATTTAATTAACAGAGCTCTGTGCCTTGTGGCATCTTTTGTTGTTTCTCTCTGATCATTTCTTCCCTTTTTTGTTTTTGAGTTAAAAACTTGAAAGTCGTTTATTAATTAATCGGAGATACAACTACTCCTAATCTCTGCTTAATTCAGAACTCTTTAGGGGTGATATCAATTCTGATTTTTTAACTGAAGCTGGTTCTACGAATCACGAAGTATTTTTACATGGTAGCTCCACTGCGATAGAGAACAGAAAATATCTTGCATAAAAACGAAGGGTGAAAAGGTTCTTGCAATGGCAGAGGGCTAACTATACTCTTATTAGTTCTATACTTTGTGTTCATTTTCACTGATATTCCTCCTGTTATTTCTGTTAACTTTTGCACAGCCTGTCAATGGAAGAGCGAGCCAGAGCCCAAAGAATCAGAGCCCTACCAGGAGCAGGAGTGCATCAAGGTCTTGGTTCCTTCCCTGTTTTTTACCACTACTTTTGCTTACCATGGTTTTGTTTCTCCTCTAAGATTGACAGTTAGATTGGCATTTATCTCTTTTCAGGTGAACTCCGAAGGAAGAAAACTGTAACTTGCGTTTGAGGAGCATACACGCAATCGATAATTAATGAAGTCCCTCATGAACATGTTTCTGGATTTTGTCTTTATAAATATTGTTGGAAGTTGAATCGGAACCAACTACTTGTCATTCTTATGTTGTCGACGATGTTGTTATTTGTAGCCTAAAGTACTGTTTGGAACTCTGGGCATGCGATAAGATTTGCGACTTGTGCTGAGTCTTTAAATTTTAACAGATATCTATATGTCGAAATGGATATTAGGGTCGCGTCACTTTTGTCGATGTAATTTGTGCTGGTATTGACAACTTGCAGTGACAATTTGATGGTTATTATCTAATTCGGTTCAGATGGCCCTTGATCAGGTTTAGATGTATGTGAGCGTTGAAGGATATTTTGTTAGTAAACTATGCAGTGACATGCTAACAATATGCTCATGAACCACAATGGCATGAGATGTATGCCTTATAGTATCAAACTTTCTTTACTGAATTTAAGAAGTTATTATGATATTTCATGGTTTTCTAGAAGAGCTTTGCTACAGGGACCCAAAATATGAGACCAATAGAGGAGACAAGTGAGGTGTCTCTCTCCTATTGGATAATGAGTTGGTCATCATCCTATTGGATAATGAGTTGGCCATCATTAATGATGGTCAACTCATTATCCAATAGGAGGGGGACACCTCACTTGTTCCCTCTATTGGTCCTATATTTTGGGTCCTTGAGGAATTTTTCTTTCTAGAAAGCTGACCTGAATTTTGTGAATTTCCAAAAATCAGGAGCTTAATATTTGAAAGACACATTGTTAATAAAAATATTTCGAAATGACAAATTTTACTCCGTAATATGAGTGATGACATTGGTCCACCCCCGCGCTCTCACGGGTATCGTCGTTGGTGGTGCTCTTTCTTTTGCAGGTACTGAAACTGTTAGCTCGCTTTCAGTATTTGGCTCTATGCATATTATTTTCTTTATATGTACAGGTACTCTGGTACACGCTATGCTTGCATGATAGAAGAATCTATGAAGGAAATGGATAGATGTCTTTTTCATTGATTTTTTTTTGGAATTTTCCATTTTAAGGGCATTTGTGTGATTATTTTTCCAAGTGTGAGGACATCCCTTTTGATTTTTTTTTTTCAAAATGTAGGAGCATGTTTGTTGATTTTTTTTTTTTAAGTATGAGGACATCTGTAATTAATTTTTCAGATGTAAGGATATTTTCAAACTTTTTAAAAATGTGGCTGATGATGATCAAAAGAAAGGTTTTTCTTAATAATACAATGATGCTGCAAGTCTCATGAGATTACCTGACAAGCAATCATTGATGTATGCAAATCTCTAGAGAGTGCACGGAAAAAAGCAATTACCATTCATGATAATTTCTTGAAATTATTATATTAAAAAAAGGGGGAAAAAATTCTTGAAATTTATCAGGTATCTATTGTGACAGCGTGTCCTAAAAGAAACTCAAGAAAAGGGAATATCTGATACAAATAAAGACTCCAAAGATAAAAAAAAAAAGTAAGGCACAGAGTAGCTAGCTCAGCCTGGGACTCAAAAAAGGATGTGGGTGCTGTGGCTTGCGTTGCTGCTCCTGGGCACAGCAGTGTTGGTGGTGGGCGAGGGAGATGAGTGCAGTGAGGAGCTGAGGAGAGATGAGTTCCCTCAGCACTTCACTTTTGTGCTCTGGCATCTCAGCTTACCAGGGAACAGCCCCCCCCCCCACCCCCACCATCTGGGATCAGGCTGCAATGGACAGAAGCCACTGGTTTCAACGGCAAGAGATTTTGCAGGTGGAAGGAGCAGCAGCTGAGGATGGCAGGAGCCCGAGCATATGGGACACCTTTGTTCATAATGGTTACCCTTTTTTAACCCAAAAAAAAAAAGAAAAAAAAAAGAAGAGGAGGGAATAGCTTCTTTTGTTAAACTTTGCTAGATTTCGCATTTGAAGCGAAGGTTCAACTTGATATGTTCGATTTTCATCAGGGCATGCGCCGGGAAGGAGTAACGGGGATGTAGCCTCAGATGGGTATCACAAATACAAGGTACCCAACGGTCATTATAATGTCGACGGGTGTAGGATACATAATGCAAATTTTATCAGAACACTCGGTGTACACAAAAAAAAAGAGAGAGGATGTTTTAAGCTATTTCACGCGACGATAGGGGGTCATTTGGAAATTTTGATTAGTCATACAGAACACACCCTACATATTTCACTTGCGAATTAAAAACCAACGTGCTATGCGGGACTAAATGCTAGACAGCTACAAACTCTAACACTACCTCGGATACAGTCTTTTGATTGCTAACGTTTACCGCAGGAGGATGTCAGGTTGATGAAGGAAACAGGGCTGGAAGGATACAGGTTCTCTATTTCCTGGTCAAGGCTGATTCCTAGTATGATCATTGTTAAAATGCAAATTTTTTTTTTTTGAAATCAAGTTATTAACTGATTTTAAAAGAAAATTCGACGCGGTTAATTTCATACTGGTTTCTGGCAGATGGGAGAGGAGATGTAAATCCCAAAGGCTTAGAATATTACAACAACCTCATCGATGAGCTAATTACTCATGGTATGACTCAGACACGCAGTAATCCATTCTGAAAACTTTGATATGCAACATTTTTATTCGTATCATCAAACACATCGAATCTCATGATTAATTTTCCTTCTTATGCACCTTCATTCTATCTGTATAAGCTTGATAAATAATAGCTGAACTTAGCAGGAATTCAGCCTCATGTCACTCTTTTCCACTATGATCTCCCTCAAGTTCTAGAAGATGAATATCAAGGATGGTTGAGCCCAAGGATTGTGTAAACCCTCTTTTAACTCTTTTTAGTACATACTTTCACTCTTTGTTAATGCACATAAATCAATTTTAATTAGCGTCGTGGGAGCTTTGGGGTGTCTCACAAGACTCTCTTAAACTTTAAAACTTTTCTCACCAAACCCCTCGATTACGAATGCCGACTACATGACAGAAGGCTAAATTTGGAGTTTCTGTCTCGAGTACAATTTAGTTATTTGCCAATCGCTGGTAGGGGGTCTTGTGAGACACCCAAAGTTTAGAGATGTGCAGAAACCGCCCTGAAGTCCGGGGGTTTTGTGAAATTAAAAATGTTTCGTTTTTCTTTTCATACTTCGGTTTCTCTCCTCTATGCATTTCAGCTTCAACTATAAAATGATCAAATACCACTGTGATTATTCTTACAGGGGTGATTTCACAGAGTATGCAAATGTGTGCTTTGGAGAGTTCGGAGATAGGGTCTCACATTGGACAACCTTAAATGAACCAAATGTGATGGCAGCTGGAGGTTATGATACCGCCATTTTCCCACCCGGGAGGTGCTCTTACCCCTTCGGCGCCTCCAATTGCTCCCATGGTGACTCTGTTCATGAGCCTTACATTGTTGCTCATAACTTCCTACTAGCACATAGCTCAGTGTACTCACTTTATAAGAGAAAATATCAGGTGACTCTTGAAAACTCTTGTTCATAGAAATGTTTGTGTGGTTGTTGATGAGCAAAAGTTTGTATTAAGGGCTAACTCTTCCGCGGAGTTAACCACTACAACATCCTTTCAATTGTTTCCATTGGATTAATGATGCGCCAAAAAAAGATAATAACCATTGGATCAATGCGCTAGTCCTAAGTCTACTAATCCAACGGTTAATATTCATCTGGTGCACCATGAGCACATTGAACCAGACCCACCGGATACTTTCTCTTGTTATGCCTACATTTTCCCTTCTTACTCCATTAATTAAAATCTCACTTTTAGTGATCTCCTTTTTAATTGTTTTCAACAAGTTCTCTTAGGCGAGAAAGAAAGTATCAAGTGGTACTGGTTTCCGTTGCATTAATGATGCGCCAAAAGAGATGACAACCGTTGGATCAGTGCACAAATCCTAATCTACTAATCCGAAGGTTAATAATATTCATCTGGTGCACCATTAGCACATTGAACTAGGACTACTGGATTTTACTTGGTATGCCTATATTATAATCTCATCGCTTCTCCTGGCTGGCGCTTTTAAAGAAAGATTTCAATATTACTATCAATTACCGATCAAGTTACTCATCTCCCATCTCAGGCCGAGCAACAAGGATCAGTAGGCATAAACATCTTTATATACCATTATGTGCCCAAAACCAATTCAATGGAGGACATGCTTGCAACAAAAAGAGCCCAAGATTTCCTTACGGGCTGGTCTATTTTCCTCAAGAATCTGACATTTTCATTTGCGTTTGCATCAGACTCTATGAATCTTCTTCATTGAAGTTTATCTTTCAGGTTCATGCAGCCACTTGTCCATGGTGATTATCCAAACTCTATGAAGAAGCTTGTAGGCGACAAGATCCCGAAATTCTCAAAGGATCAATGGAGGAAACTTATCGGTGCCTTTGACTTTATAGGAGTGAATTACTACAATACTCTTGGTGTGAAGGATAATACCAAAAATATACCACAGGACCAGAGAGACTTTATGACTGATCCCTTGGTAGAATTCTCAGGTTAAATTTTTTTACTTTCCATTGTTTTGTTAGGTAACACATCAAACTTTTTCATAGTGTTACTCCAATCCCAGGTACTTGTAGGGAAAAAAAAATGAACAACAAAGAATTTTGTTGGAAGTGATGCATATTGCATAGTACTGGAGTTCTCTTAAATAAATAAAGTGACAGAACTGTATGAATAGTTTCCAAGAGCCTTCTAGGCATTTTCATAACAGGTCTTTTCCTAGATGAATTCCAAATAGACACATTTTTTAATTATATTTTAGCCTTTCAGTATATATCAAATTACTATATATAAATTTATTGGCATAGTATGAATTCAGTGTTTATATAATTGCACATGTATATAAACAAACTTAAATAAGCTGGAAGATTATATATGCAATTGTGATCAATAAACTAGTTCCCTTCATCAAGTTGATCAGTTGTGATGGGTTTTTGTAGTGGTGGATCGCGATGAATCTGGCGCTAAGGTAAATTTAACTATCGAAAAATGGAGGTCATATTTGTAGTATTTCGTGAGAATCTTTGAAAAGCAATGTTAATGCGAATGATGTTTTGTTTTTAGATTTTGACAGCATATGGCCTTCAAGGTGTTTTGGAGCATCTCAAGCAAAACTACGGTAACCCTCCTATCTACATTCAGGAAAATGGTAAGCAACAATTTGCTTTTAGATCCTAATTTCGAAACAATTTAGTTCCGAAATGTGCTAAACAAGAATAGCATCATCTGCATTAGCATGTTTCGGTCACATTGGAATCACTCATATCAACCTCGATACCTATTACTTTGGCCTACATTAAACCGAAATATATCTTGAACGATAAAAAATATTGTATCTCCCCCTCTTCCCTCTTTAGTTTTGCCATTCAATTTTCTTGCAACCAACCATTGGTTTTACGTGAAAGCAAAGCCTACGCTACATGCTGGTTCTGTTGTACTAATACAAGACTTCCACAGCTTCATTGTTCTTCAAATTCCTTAGAAATTTAGAAATTTAGTGGATTCTCTCATCTTAAAACTTATACAGTATGTATATAAACATCTGAGCTCATGTACAAATCCCACGTAACAGGATATCCTATGCCGCATGATGCGACTCTCGATGACGCTCCAAGGGTAAAATACCTATGTGCTCACGTAGGAAGCTTGCTCAATGCCATCAGGTACAACATCAATATTTCAGCTTTCTGAAACTTAGCATATCTATTATTCTCACATGATCATGTTTCAGGAATGGATCTAATACGTTGGGATACTTCACATGGTCGTTCTTGGACTTGTTCGAACTTATGGAGGGGTACGAGAGTTCTTATGGCATGTACTATGTGGACTTTGAGGATGAAGAACTGAAGAGGTACCCTAAGCTCTCTGCGCGTTGGTACACCAATTTCCTCAACCGGGAACAGACTGTTATTCGCGAAAACAATCCAACGTCTGCATCTAATTCATCGTATGCTTGATACGATCAACATAACCAAGCTGAAACTCTTGCCTTTGCTACGTTTAGTTCGAGATTGTAACGATTTTATGGTAAACTCGGTTTATTTCGTTGTTCTTGTGTACCTGTTACAGTTCAGTTTTTAAAAGTGAATGTTCAACTAGGATGTGTGCAACTTTCTTTGCAGAAGGAGTTGGCAGTAAAACAGAAGAAAGCACAACTTCTAAAGATAAATGCATAGAGGCAGATAACTGTAAGATGCTTGGTATATTAAAAAGGGCAAATACAAAAGAAGTATATTTTTTTTTAATAAAAGGCTTAATTGTGGATAGACCCCCAGTGCTGTCGCCAAATCGAACTCACTTCCCCAGTAGTTCTGTTGCTGCAGATACACCACCTAAAATGAGTCGAAAATTGTTCACTCAAAGAGGGTCTATCCGCAACAATAGAACTATGGGGGTAATAAATTCAATTTGACGACAAAAAAAAGACATATTTTTAGAACTGTAGTTGTAATAATGCCACAACTATAGTGAAACAAACAATTACAACCACACTCAAAAGTTTCTATTCACCAAAAATTCCTGTCAGATAAGCAGCCTGCCTTGTCACCGAACCTTCAAACCAGCCATCATTGTGAGAGCTGAGAAATGCAATTCCCCTGCTCTAAACACACCGGAATAAAAAAAAAACTAGGGTGTTAAACTAGGTAAAATTTTAAAAATCAATATTAGGAGAATTACCAGGAAAACCAAGATCATTTCTGTCAAAACCAACAAAATATTTATTTCAAATGCCTCATTCGCACCAAAACATACCAAACTCAAAATCCGTTTCCAGCCAGATCACCGTCAAAAGATTATCCCAGTATAAGTAATATCATCAGGGAACCTAGCATTTATACAAACTCCCATTCGATTTTACAAACAAGCAACAAATAGTTCAAAGATAAGGCCTCGTTCTCCCTACATGGGGTGTCCTTCCCGGAGCTGAAGGCCTATCCGACCCGTTTCGGTGCCGTAGCCCGACCCGGTAATCTGGCACGGGTACTAATGGAAAAGGAGCGAACTGGTCCCTCTCCCATGAATAGAAATGGTCTCCGCCTAGTGTTTCGAGGTCTTGGTGGTGGGCCCGGCTGGATGAAGGCGCCGATGGTGGGAAGAGGTAGTAGGTCCTTTGGTCGGGGAGCGAGGGGGGAGTGGGTCCCACTGGAGCTGGAGGTGGAGGCAAGTTTCCATTCGTGGAGCCGGAGAAGAGTGTAGTGTGGAGTGCTTGAGGATTGTGGTGTTGGTAACGATCGCCTCGAGTGTGGGCATGAGGTCGAGGGTTGGTGATGTATGGTGGAATCAGTGAAGAAACGAACGAGCCCGCGAGTCTAGAACTGGATCTGAGAGGAAAATAGAGTAGAATTAAATTAAAATTGGTTTTTTGTCGAGTAAGCAAGACAAATGACAATGAAGCTAACCAATATTTTTATAATGAACGATCTATGAACTCTATGATTAATTGGTTCTTGATAAGTCAAGAGGGCCAGCGATAACAGGAAGGAGAAATGGATGCCGAAAATTATGGCTGTCATGACTTTGCATATATCATGTAAAATATAATAATCATAATTGTTAACCAAACAACTGCACAGTTCAAAACAGCAGTTGAAGCTAAAGATGTATTTTTTCACAGCAGCCAATGGAGTGAAAAACATTCTCTCTCACTTGTATATATGATAGAAATCTATATTACGAACTTCACAAATGAAAAGACCACTGATTCAGATGTTTCAGTAGGCTTTTGATAGGACTAATTCGATATGATATAAATATGATGATCTTGTCTTTAGTGATGTTGTTATAACACTGATCAGATGACATGAATACAATTGACGCCATCTACTTAAACATATATTTAGTACGAGCCAAAGCATTTATGGCATTCAGATTATCCTGAAAAAAATGGAGTTCTGTTTAGGCAACACGGATTTTAAAAAATATGTACTCTTTAAATGAGTGGAAGGAGATAGGACTAGTATCATGAAAAGACTGCAACAAAGGAATAAGAAGAGCCAAACCCCAAAACCCTCTTAATTGGGTTACAAAACGAGGTCGGATAGAGTAAGACCACACCCAGTACCATTGGGGAATACAAATTTTAGCTTGATTTGAACTTGCTATCCTTGTAGTTTCATTGTTGTTGACAGACCCCTAGGTTGCTTTTTTTTAATACTACTCTACCCTCAGATAGACTCACAGGCCAAAATTTTGCCTAAAGGTAAGAGTCCAACAAACTTAACCCAGATGGTGGGTCTGCGACAATGAAACTATAAGGGTAGTAAGTTCAAACAACGATATTGCATGGGGTCTATGTACGATTAACCCATTTAAGTTGCTTATATTACCACTTACCCATGCCCAAAAATAAAGGGATGGAAGAAAGACCCACTCCTGGCTAGACCATCAGAATCAACCCTCATTCCTGGGACAGTCATAGATGAAAAAGCATCTTCATTGGAACCACTAGTATGACTTCTATGCCGGGAATTTGGTGTAGGATGATGGTGTTCCCAACCATGAGTCTGAACCTCTGGAGTTGCAGAGGCATGATTCCAATGATCACTAGGGCTCTCAGAAGAAACACGAGGGTTTGAGGAAGCTGAAGGTTGAAGTGGCTGGAAGTAAGCCAAGTATGAAGATGCATTATCTGCCAATGAAGGAGCTAGGTTCCCAGTAAACATGGCATGATATCCTATTAGATCTTGAACTGCATAACCAGAATGTCATTGATAGAGATTAAGACAAGAAGATACAACCGCACCCATACTACTGAATAATCGCAAAATGTATGGACACTTACGAGCAAATGCTGGAGAGGGTTCCCCTTCCCTGCAAAATATCAATCAATAAATGGATTGAGAACCAATCAAGGACACACTGAAACAGTGATAACCTATATTTCAAGAATTAATAAACTCTAAGTAGGAAGGGAAAAAATAGAAAGGAAAACTCCCTTTTTCAACACCTATCCAGACATACATTCCTCGGTTTAAATTAAGAAATTAGAGATCCCAGCTAGTGAACTAGCCTACTTTCTATTGTAACTTGTTCATAGGCTCCTCGCCCTCGGCCATATATTTGACGCAAACACTATGAAGGTTGACACCAGGAAACTCATTATCAAAATTTGCCAAATATATTCTACAGCTGTCAATACATATTAGAGCCAGTTACCAAGAAGAAAAACACTAACAGATCCCATGTACCGACCCAGACACATTTTTCTTGTTTGCTTGAGCTTAAAGCCTTAAATTGTAACGAATAAGACACGGCTCTACTTATACTGGCAAGTGGCAACTTCATACAGTTCACTCTCATGTATAGGCTCCTTGACCATGAATATGCAAACACTCGATGATGGTCTGCACTTTATAACCAACCCCACTTTGATAAGACCATACTTCGATGATCACAGTGACATGCACACATTCCCAGGAACACGCTCATGTAAACCTGTGTAATGGAATGTAATACTGCCAGGCTGAAGCATCATGATGTGCTGGCAAATGGATATATGCATGACAAATGATTGAAAGTAACTAGTAAGAAAGTACCAGAGAGCACATAGTCATGGATGTACACTGTTCTTACTCCTTTGATCTCTAATTCACATTTCCATTATCCAAATACTCTTCCTGCCTATCCCTATCTACTGTCCTACCATCCACTCACCCATTTCTCTGTCTCTACAAGAACCAGAACCCCTTCCCCTCAGACACATGCCCCAATGCACATGCTCTATACCTCCCATGAATATGCTCCAGCATCGAAAGCAAAAACAGGATGTAGAAGAAAGACATTTAAAATTAAAGAATCTAGGTTATACACCTATTAAACGTTCACCATATTATTCACTTTAACATATATAAATATATGGAAACAGAAAAGTAACGTTTATCAATAGCCTGGAAGAAGAACTAAAGGAATATTGAGCTTACTCAAATGATGACGGCAGTCTGGCTGATCTGCTGAATGGACACCAATGAGCTCCGAAAGTCTACAAAAGGAGGAACAATGTAAAAGGAATCAACAAGCTTGTGCTTTATTTCATTGATAGACCTGTTTATTTTAGTGCCATAAACAGCATTAGAGTATTACCATATATCAAGTCAAAACCTTATCAAGGGCAATTTACAATACATTATTTACCCCCATCTATTGTCACCCCGTGGATGAAGGCCTTCCCATGTTCCCCAAGTGCCCATAAGATGAGTATTTAAGATTTATTGAATAAATTGTCAGCTCACGATCCGTTAACTTAATCTATTGACGAAATGATTATCCGGTAGCAACAGCGTGACCATTGAAAACAATTCTCATACATGAAATAAAAACAATATTTTTTGGAAACATGTTCATATAGCACAAGAAAAACAATAAGCTAAGCGAAAAAGAAAAAACCAACCAGCTTGCAGGCTGGAAACCGGCGTTCAACAAAGTAAATTCATTCATCACTAAGATGATAATTTCCTCTACAAAACTAGGACAACATTAAGAAGATATATGGGGGGTTCTACAGCATAACATGACCAAAGTTTTAATATGCAAAACAAATAGGAATAGTTTTGTCTTCAAGTTCACAAGTCAATAACAATAAACAAAACTTGGTGCTTAAGTGCAGCATCAACTACAGAACGAAAGAACTAATAATGGACAGCAGGTAAACATCACAATCAAGGATGATAAATAGTGGAAACATGAAAAACTCTACCTATGATGAGAACCAACTATAGAATAAGATCTCTTGAGAAATTGGATTCCAGGCATGCCCTCAAAATAATACTACCTATTTACAACCCCACTGGCCCACCATCCGAGAATATTAATATAAGTGCAAGCATATGCCCATGAGGCTAGTTAATCTCTCCTTTTCCTTTTCATCTGTTAAATAACATTATGTGCCTGTTTCATGCAATATGCAGCCTTTTCTTGCTGGACGCTGCATTCTGTGCCCATAATTTAAGTTAATACTTATCTCATAAAACTATCTTGATTTTTGAAGGCCTGCTTTTTACTCTAACCCGAATTCTTAGTTCACCCAACAGTATTCTCTTCCCTTATTGTAGGCTATCATTTATTTGACATACCTATCTTGCACATTTTAATCAAATGATGCTCGAGATGCATCATAAGACCCATGTGACTCACCATCTTCTTTTACTTCTTGTTGTGAAAGACAAAACCACCACATACGGACATGCACTATTTGGCCGATTGCTTGTAACAGGTCTTAGAAATGTATGAGACCCCCTCCATGAACACTGCTGTAATGAGTTGTTCCTGTTTCAGGAGAGTTTTGTCTGTTGGTAATGGTCAGGATATAGGGGCTCCAGGGTTTCTACAAATGCTTCAAATGTGAGTGTTTTTTTCTAGACAATATGAGCTTTCGTTACTATACTTTTTTTCTATTGCAGTTGGTATCACTCAACTTAAAAACAACTTCAATAAGTAAATACAGAACAAAACTGTATCATGTAATATACCATTTCTGAGTACCTGAGACCATATTTCAACACAAAAAGTTAATGGCTTCTTTATGATGAATCCCATTACAAATTTACAATACAGTAAAAGGCTAATACAAGTGAAACATCTCATGGCTAGAGAAAGAAGAAGAAAACAGTCAATGAAAATTTGCTACTAGCAAATCTATAATAAATTCAGAAAAAGGAGAGAATAAAGAAACTCAATGACTAATTATACCATTTCCAGGTAACTGAGGTCATAGAGATCTTCATCATGGGTCAACTCATCAAAGCCAAGCTCTGGCAGTGAACGAGAACCATTAGCATAAAGCCAATTGCCTTTCTCAACTTTGCGACAATTTGGGCATTGCATTACTCCTTTAGCATTGAAAGCTGATCCAATGCAATCTGAAGAGTTTGGAAAAGACAGCGAATGAGCTTTGATGAATTGTGAAACTGAAAGGGCATTGGTTGTAGTAATGTGAGTGAACTATACATTTCTACATTGCAATACATGCTCATCCAGAGGAAAGGCAGCCAACAATAGCGTATGACAGGTAATTCATAGTGCAAATGTTGAACATGGCGTTAGATATATAGACTACTAAATTGAAGCTTGGATAAAAATAAAACAAAGGGAGAACCCATAATACAGAAAAGAGAATTAACCTCCCTTTATCCATAACTAAATCAAGAAGGATCAAATATATTATATAAGTTGTTTAGTACAATGTAGCATGAAACTCTAGTGGAGGGGGCCTCTCAATCAAATTTCAAGCTATTACTTCCAACTGGAGGCATCTTTTCGGCGACATAGATCCCTAAATTTTAACAAGAAAACTGATGGTGGGCAGTAGAGAAGTTGGGAGTGCGAATAAGTGAATGTGAGTGAATATGAGAGGGAGGGAAGAGGGCAGATAGTACTATGTAAAGAAGCAATTAGCTGACCTAGAATTTCCTTAGCCAAGCTGGCTGAATTCACATCCAGCAAATACAATGCCACAAAAAAGGAGTGGGAACAAGGGGCGATGAAAGAAGAGAACAAACATAAAAAAGTGCACTTCACCTATGCGATATACTATACACCGTCAAACTAAAACAAAGTCCCAAGGTCAAAACCATGTCTTCTCCATTAAACTCATTGGCAAGGCAAAAGACCAAAACAACTACTGTCGAAAATTCAAACTCATACTCAATCACCGCAAACACCATGCAGAAGGGTGATGATTGTGACGTAAGACATGTTGAAAATGTTTAAAATTGATTTAGTTTAAAATTGTAAGATGATCTACAATTTTACCTTCTCCGACTTTCTAGTTTGGCAGTTGATTAATCGTAATTTTAGGTTGCTTTACAGTGTGATTGATTGATGGAAGTCGTCTTTTTTGTGTCTATTAAAGAGGGCCAAACAAGTTCCAGGGTGTCAATGTAACAAGTTATTAACCTTTCTACATATCAAAAACCATCCGAAAGATACTTCTTCTTAAATGGGGTTTTCATAATAACCACCTTTAAAATAAGGTGAAAATACAAGAACAACCTTTCAAGTTCAATTTATACAGAAACCACCTTTAAAGGGAGTTCTGGTTGCAATCAACCACCTAGACCTATTTTCTGGTTAAAATTGTTATTGAAATCCCCAAAATACCCTCGAAAATATACCAAAAAATATGACAATTTCGGTTAATAATAAATGTCATGTGCCTGCACGTGTATTTATTAAGGGCATTTTGGATATTTCATTTAAAATTTTATCAAAAAGGTTAAGGTGGTTGATTGCAAACGGAAACCTCTTTAAAGGCGGTTTCTGTACAATTTGAACTTTAAAGGTTTTTGTATTTTCACCTATTTTAAAGGTGGTTTTCCTCAAAAACCCTCATTTAAAATATTTTTACATTTACTGAAGGTTCCTACTGGATTTTAACATTATTCAAGTTGAAGTCACAGCTGTTTGATTCTTTGTTGCATCACATTTGTGAAATGATGCCTTCCCACTTGACTGCCAATCTAGTTATCTTAGGGAGCAATATAGCACATGCAGATCAAGTTAAGCTGCAAGTGCCATTTATATTGGACTATCGTGAGGTTAGAGGTGGTGAAACAATATAAGGAAATGGGGAAGCCAAAAAGATTTCAGTGGCCATGAACAGTAACAACAGTTATTATATGACACCACAGGAATTTCCATATACCTAAGGGTAGAGGATAGTGGGAAGAGAGAAATGTAAAGAACCATAGGAAGATCCTTCCACCTAGGTTTCAATATATGAAATAGTGGCCAAAGCTATGGTGTAAACACAGTAGCATTACTAAGACCTTCATGATGGTTTTGCTAACAACACTATATCACGGCTGAACATGCTGGTGTATATGTTAGATCAAATCCATATTCAGACATGTTTTCCGTAAACAAGTCAGTGCTGCAATTTATTCACTTCCCTACTTCTTTCAAGCTGCAAGGTAACATCCTTAATCCCATCCGATTATCCTTTTTCACATCCTGAACACAAATGGAGGCAATATGTTCCTGTAGTCACCTTCCCTCTACACCAACAGCAGAACAACTACCTTTCTCATATCCTCACTTGTCAATTTCTGTAAATAAGAATGGGCAGAAACAAAACTAGCCTCAAAGACAACAAACGGAATCAGAAAAACTATTATGGCTGTTAGGCCCATTAATAGTGGACTGTTTATTTGTTAGAAATCACAGTGGATTTTGGCATTGTAAATAAAGTCCAAGGTCAGACAGAAATCAAAATGTAGTTTACCCATAGAAAATTTTCTCATAACTCAATCATTGATCATCCTCAACCCCTTGTAAAACTAAGGATATCAGACATGACAATATATTTTGATGATAAAACTAAACAAAAGTTAACAGACATGATAATATATTTTGATGATAAAACTAAACAAAAGTTACAAGATAAAAACTTATCACTGGAATCACACATTTTCTAGACTGTCAAAGAGTCTTAAGTCTTATGGGAGATGCATGTTTTGTATTACCAAAGATGACCAAAGATGCATTACTCAGTTAATAAAATGTGCCTGCATATTACTATAAGTTATACTATTCGCATAGAAACTAACGAGTATAAGAATAAACATCATAACTAATAACTGAAATTAACAAATTTATTCTTCTCACAAGCATATAACTGATATCCAAAACACCATCCCCCCAAGTCAAAACTAATGTTCAAAGGAAATGAATGTAAATCGCAGCATTTGATTCTCCAACAAAGAACAATCTTTACCGAAATTATTAACAAATCAATACAATTTCCAGCACCTATCAATAAAAACAAACAACAAAGACATGAATTTCAAGCTCCAAAAGAAATCAAAAACTTTCAAATCCAGACCAAAACATTACCTAGCTCTAACTACAAGCCTACTTGAAGGATAGAATCCAAAAAATAAAATAAAATATAATAAAATTGAAGTTTATAATCCAGCTCCAGTCATTAAACCCCCAAATTGAGCACGATCAAAACAAATTCAAGCACCAGACAAAAAAATCCAGCAAAAATATCGATCAATTTATGGAAACTAACCGAGATGGAACTCGTGACCGCACTGGAGAATCGCCGTCGACCGATCGGGGCCGATGGCGACGATCTCGAGGCAGATCGAGCAGGCGATCGCCGATCCGCTGTCCACCGATGCCTCAGATTCCCCCAAGCCCATCGATTCATGCAATCGAGAAGAAACCCCCAAATTCGAGAGAGAGAGAGAAAAAAAATCCCCAAAATCTCTGTTTCTCACAAGAAATTTTCCTTTTTTGTATTTTGTTTAATTGTTTGGACGAGAGGAGGCCTTTTAACGGAAGAGTCTTTTTTGCCTATAGGCCCTCCACATCCATCTTATTTGGAGATTGGTGTTTTTCCTAAGAACAATTTTTCACTTCAGCCCCATTCTAATTTTTTTATTTAAATCGACCCTTTTTTATTTACCAAAACCGATCCGATTTTTTGATTAGCAGCTTAATCACCTTCCTAAACAGTCGGGGTTGGCAACTCCGACTATTTAGGACATTAATTTTTAGGGTTTAAGGTTTCTAATTAGGGTTTAAAACCCTCCTAAATAGCCGGGGTTGGCAACCCCGACTGTTTAGGATGGTGATTAGGCTGCTAATCAAAAAATTGGGTCGGTTTTGGTAAATAAAAAAAAGGGTCGATTTAAATAAAAAAATTAAAATGGGGCTGAAGTGAAAAATTGTTCTTTTCCTAATTCTGATTATTTGCTGTTTCAACCTCATCTTCTCGCCATTAAGTTATTTAAACCCTTCTTATGTTAACACCACCTAGATTTTAATCTGAGAGAAGAGATGAATGTATATTTTTTTCCTCAAATTTGAATACTTTTTTACTTACCCTATCAACTTTGACAGTGTGAAGTGAAAGTGTTACAGTTTTAAATGATGGTGATATATTTAATGAGAGTTAAAAGATATCATTACTACTTAACGCTGTTAAATTGTAATCTAGAAAGGTCATACATTTAATGAGAGTTAAAAAATACCATTACCACTTAACGCTTTTAAATTGTAATCTAGAAAGATAAAAGCTGTCAAAAATGTCCCCCTTCCCTTTCCCTCTCGAAACATATTGTTCTTTACCTAAATATCCCCTAAATACGGATCGTTCAGATAATTATTGTTGGATCTTCATATTTATTAAATTACCTTGTAAATTTTGAGGGGTTAAATTAAATCAGAGCGTGTTATGTTGTTCACTCACCCAAGATACTGGTATTTGCAAAATGATACAATAAGAGTTCTAGGAAAATAACCTCAACCCACTTAAGTGGCCCAAACCCAATAGAGGCCTCGACCTCGCCGACTCCACAAATCAACATTCTTTCATGCCGACACGAAAGGCGGAATCAGTCGACCCTATCGTCGAGAACAACCCTACTTAGGGCACTCGACCACTCACTGGGTAATTCTCGAGAACGACTTGTGGGACATTCCTTGCTGTTGGCTAAGTTGAGGACTCGACCCCGGTCTCAAGCCTTTCCCCCGGAGCATACCTACTGTCGGCTAAGTTGAGGACTTGACCTCGGCCTCAAGCCTCTCCTCCAGAGCATACCTGCTGTCGGTTAAGTTGAGGACTCGACCCCGGCCTCAAGCCTCTTCCCCAGAGCATATGTTAACAGTTCAGTCCATCTCGGATAAGCATTATCCAGATTTTGGCCTGATGGTCTCCATGACTTGTCAGCTGCTCACGTTAATCACTTCCCAAGAAATGTGGAGACATCCTCCCCCATGCCGAAGTAACTCCGCCTTCGGTCGCTAGCCGACACCTATAAAGCAATGAATGATTCAGCTGCCCACGTGCCTCCTGCCACGTTCTCAATCACTTCCCAGAAAATACGGAGACATCCTCCACCGTGCTGAAGTGAGTTTCCCTCCAGTCGACAGCCGACACCTGTAACACGAGAGATGATTCAGCATATGAGCATGCCTCCTGCCACCTCAAAAGAGGAGAAAAAAGCTCAAGCAAGGGTAATCTCACTTCTTCTAACTTTGACACTCGAAAGAGGAGGAACAGACAGTTCTTCGTCTAGACAGAGGAGTTCACATAGATCCTCTAGGTATGCATATGCCACTCCAAGAACCACATTGGTTCCTAACCTTCCCCTTCCCCACTCGAGTTTCACTAACTTGACGGTCGAAGAAACCACGAGGGAACTAGTCCCCGCCCTCTCACAGGTCTTTCTTGTCTGTGCAGCGTGGACATCAAGCCCCTGTTCAAGAACTAGGCATAAAATCGGAGAAGGGAGCGGACCCTCCATCTTTCTGCATCACTCCGCAACCATCATCTTCTGTATTATTCTATATTATATCGAGCATCAACAAAGCGGATATAAAAAAATTAGGTTAAGTGCAAATAAACCCTCTTAATATCGTTCAATTATGAATAGACCCATATAGTTCTATTTGTATCGAATATACTCCCTCTATTATTGGCCCAAATGTGAATACACTCCCTTTACGAACTTTTTCAACTGCTATAAAAAGTATTTAAAAAAATCAGTTGTCGATTCTTCCTTACAAATAGAACCGCAGGGGATCCATCCATCTCTTTAAACATTTATAATGATTTTAAGAGTAAAAAAATTTCACTCATGAGTCTGTTCAATACAAATAGAACTGTAAGTGGTCTATTCACAATTGGGGATATAGGAGATCTATCACAATTCCTTAAAAAAAAAATCAAATGTGACATGGTTTAGAATAAAATCACTAAATATGCAGATTTGGAGGACAAATCTACAAACAGAATGGACTGGTGGGGGAGTGAGGGGGGAGGGGAATAGTTTGAATCTTGGATCTACCGTTGATTTTAAGAGGGTGAATCTGGACCGTTGATAGACTAGCGGTGGTCAGAACAAGAGCAGTCTCGTTTTGACTCGAGTCCGCTGGTCAGCCTGGCCTGAATATTTTCCACATGGAAAGTTTGCAATTAGGACCTCAAGAGTTTATTTTTATTTTCATTATTTCTTTTTCGCCAAATTCACCTCCAAACATCAGGAACATCATTTATTCTTTCGAATACTATTTCATTCAAACATCTTTCATCTCAAACGTTTTTAAACATAATATATAATATGAATAGATTTGAGCACAAGATTTTTTTTTTTGTGTGTACATAGACGATGGAGATGCTCAAACCCATAAATTTCCCTTTTTTTCAATATTTTTATTGAGTTCGTCCTAAATCATTTGTGTATAAGAGAGTAGTGAAAAAAGTAACTCTCTTTTCTCCTGGATAATATTAATAAAGGCATGAGGTGAGTATGAAAAGTATATATTATTTAGAATAGGGATATTTTACGAAATCGAAAAGGTTTACAACTAAAAGTTGTTTTATAAATAAAATAAAATAAAAAGACAAGCGTAGTAGTTTATGGACCAAGAAATATGAGGACGTGTCATATTCCACGTACATCTATCTTTGAGAAATTTATAATATTAAAAGACTCCGTAGTCACGAGCCAGCCAACCATAGAATTGCTGGCATCGAGTTTGAACGCCCATGCGCGCATCACGGATGCGATTGAACGTGGGAAATACAACCGCGAGTGCGGAAACCCAAGAAGAGAGCACGTTTAATTTATGACAAATTTTGAAAACCAACCCGTTTCCAAACTTATTCATCAAAAATGACGAAGCGACTTCGGCTGAAACCGTGTCGTTTTTGACGAAAAAAATACCAAACTTCACGTGACTTTAAGTCCCGTAAAGTTTTTTTACATAACAAAACTTCAGTAGACTTGAAATCACGTGAAATTTGCTATTGTTTCATCAAACGACACAGTTTCAGTCAGTTGGCTGAAACTGTGTTGCTTTTGGCAAATAAGTTTCAAATAGATCGTTTTTTTTACAATTATTTTTGGAAATGGTTTGCTTTTCAAAATTTTGTCTTTTAATTTATGGAAGAAGAATGCAGCTACAAGTTGTAGGTTCTTTTATCTTCCTACCCTTTCTCAAAAGTTAACTCTCAAAAGTTAGCTATTCTGAATTGCACGTATCATGGGCATTATTTGGTTCAGTTTTAAAATTTTGCAACTTAAAAATTCAGCCTTTATAGTTTTGGACTTGGTTTTTATGAAGGAGATGTTATATCTTATACTTTAAAATATGTTTAAATGCGAATTTCAAAACAAGTAACTAAATTTTAGGTCCTTTTTCTTGAGTTTCGATCTCAAAAGAATTACACAAATAAACTATCATGCGAAAAGTGAAAAAGAGAGCACGTCGTTGAACAAATGTAACACTTTTGAACACATCTCTTGATGGGCAAAAATAAACAAATATTATAATCAGATGGGCAATCTGCATGTGAAATCACAAATTTGTGATCATACACAGGGGACAAGAAAAACTAAAGTATAAATTTATGTAACTTTTTGGAGTCATACTTACACAAGAAAGCCCAAAAGAACGAAAAGAGCGGGAAAAAAAAAATACAGTTGACAAAGACCTCACTAACTATGGAAACTCTGGAGTTTAAAAAAAGACAGAGAAATACAAAAAGAAAATTTGATAACAAATGAAAGCCGGAGGCACCAAGAGACTCTACAGTCACCAACTCATGGTGAAGCAAATTTACACATTCATACACAAAATAGTCCCTTCTCAAAGAGTAAACTATAGTTAAAGAGCGCCACGGAATTAATTGACACATATAGAAACACGAAAACAAAACAAAAAAATAATAACAACAAGAGTTACTATAACAAAGGCATCGATGACTGCTGCTGCTGAGGATTACAAACTCCCCACCCCCCCAAACCCCGATAGCTCGTGCAATTAAAGAATTTGATGTATCTGAAAACTTCCTCAAAATAGCTCTTCAGAATTGAATTTATTCCAAGCTTCCTGTTTCATGAAGAGAATATATATGTAAGAAAATATTCTTTCTCCACTCCAACAATGTTTGTTTCTTGAAAGAATTATCAAATAATGCTATGGTTATATCGAAAATATACCTGAATACAGTAAAAGCAAGTATGTGACAGTGAGAAGAGTATCCGCAAACTCAGAAACGTATAAACACAGCTTCTCAAGAGTTCGATAATGCTATCAGTTGCTTGAGATTTGATTACTAACTCAGCAGCCTACTAACCTAACTGCAGCTAATTAAGGACTAAGAAAAGCATGCACTAAGCGTCCGAGAAGCATCACAGCAGATGTGTCAGAAACGGACACCTACCCCCATATCCTATCAGTATCAGAGCGTATCCTCATCTAACTATATTTCTTGTTTTAGTAGTAGCCTCA